CTGGCACTAGCCATGCAGCGCTGTGACCGGCCGCCTGTCTCTGCAGGTGGAGCCTGCCCAACGCCGAGCGCTACGCCCTGCAGTATGCGGACGGGCGGCAGACCTACATCACCGAGTCGGTGAGATGCCCCCCCCGACATCTCCCCGGCCCCACCGGCACGGTGCTCGCCAGCTCACTGGTTCCTTTCTCCTTACAGAACCGCGGGGAGATTAAGAACGGGAGCATTTTACGGCTGACCACCTCCCCGGTACATCCCTCTGTCCCCCCGTCTCCTTCTCCGCCGTGTGCTCTGGTGGGATGTCCCCCTGTGATGGGGCGATGCGGTGCTCCAAGCCTTCTGCCGCTGCCTCGCTCGGCGACTTCTGGCTCATGATGGCTCCCCTCGGTGCCTCAGACCCATCAGACCTGTCTCAACCTTCATTCTCCCTCGGCAGAGCCTGGGGGAGTTTGAAGAGAAACTAAGTCATCTTGAGATGCTTTGGACGCGTGGGCCAACTCATCAAGCGTTCTTAGCATCGTGCCAGCTTGACCTCCTTCCTCAGCTCCTCCTGGTCTCTGCTCTGGTGGCTCTGTCTCTTGGTCCAGCTCCTCACCGGGGCTGCTCTAGCCTGAGCCTCCTTCCAAAACTTGCGCTTAAGCTCTTCCAGCCTTCTCCAAGCTTCTCGCTGTCTTTCGATGAGCCCCTTTGGCTTGATTCTTTCCTTCCTGGTAGGACCAAGAAGCAGAGAGGTTGTACAGCGGGATCCAGAGCAACAACTCGGATGTGAAGACTGACTCGCTGAAGAAGCTTGCGAGCCTCTCCCAAGACGTTACCTTTGCTCAGGAGTTCATCAACAGGAATGGCTTGAAACAAATCTTTTATATTGTGGAAGAAGGGAACGAGTGAGTATCAGGAGAGGACTTTCCTTGCAGTTCTTGACTTTTCTCCTCCCTTGCTAATGCTCTATGAGCTCTAAGCCGGCTGTTGGAGTGGACTCGGTTCATGTTCCTGGCTTGTTGATCCCCGTGCTGCGGCACGAAGGGCAGCGCTGGCAGCAGGGTGCTTGGCTCTGCAGGCTCCTTACCTGCAGGTACGTGGCTGTGTCCCTGCACGCTGGCGGCTGGGGGAAGGTCCCCAGGGGTCTGTGGTCCTGACGCCTCGTGAATGTGCCCAGACTTCAACCTCCCATCCCTTCGCTGGCTGGGTCCTCTGCAGCCCCATGGGTTTTGCTGCCAGGAAACCTCCTGTGATGATCGTAGCCTCTGCTGCTGCTCATTCCTGCCACCCCAAATAATCCCCTCTGCCATGAGGTTTTAGCTGTGAGAGTCTGCAGGCAGCTCGAGAAAACCCTGGTTGCCAAACTAGTGCCTGCCTGACTCTTTCAGGATGTGATGGTGCATCTCCTCTGAGCTCCTATCTCACAGAGGATGTGGAGCCCAAAACCGGGCAGCGCAGTGCGTGTTTCTTGGAAGCAGGGGGAGGGATTTGGGGTGGCTTGGCTTTCTCGAGAGCTTGTCTGCAGTGATCTTTGTACCGTGGTAATGCAGCTTTCCAGAAACTGTTGAACTTCCCCTGCCTCGACTTCCTGGGATGACTAAGCGAGAGTCCGATTTCTTACCCAACAGTACCTCTTTCCTTTCTTCTCCTCCTCGCTGCTCTCTGCTTCTCTAGTTATTTCCAACGTACCCACCAATGTGCGAGCGTGCTCCTGCCTTACACTGGTGACTGGGGGGTATCTGGACCCACCTCACTGCGTTTGCTCATCTGTTCCTCCAGTACAGGGGAGATGCTAGCTCATACCCTGAAGGCCTTCATGGAGCTGATGGAGCATGATTTTGTTTCCTGGGAGACTCTTAGTGCAGCCTTCATCAAGAAGGTAAGCACCTTCTGCGGGTTCCACAGCCTGTGCTCTTGGGATTCCTTGTTGCCCTCGTCACCCAGGCTCAGCCTGCCGTCGACGGATGGTTTTGTGTCTTGTAGATAGTGAGTTACGTCAATATGAACGTGGTGGATGCATCTGTCCAGCAGCTCTCTTTGTCTATCTTGGAGAACATGGTACCCACCAGTCGCCTCCTCTTTGAGCTAGTCAGAAAAGAAGTGACGTTGGATCGTCTTCTCACCCACCTGCAGGTGTAAGTGGAGAGGCCGGAGCACCGTTCGCCCCCATCCCAAAGCCAGTGGGGATGAGGCGATGGAGGGGATTTCTCTGATTATCCCAGGGGTGTTGCTGATTATCCCTGGCACAATGTTGTATTGTCCCTTCCTAAACAACTTGTGGGTGGGCAGCCTGTCCCGTCCCCACTGCTGGGGGAGGGATGGACTGTCCTGGAAACCATCCCGTTTCCAGGTCAGATTCCTTCATTCATGGCCTGTTTCGTTCAGATATTTTAGTTCTTTAGCTGACCTGCCGTTTTTCTGGCATTGGCTCTTCCTTCCCTTTCCCCGGTGTATTTAGGAGCAGCAGTATATTCCCTGCAACTTGGGGTGCTGGTGCTGTACTGAACAAACAGAGTTTGTTAAATCCCTCAGCTAAGGAGGGTTCTTCCTTCCCACATCTGCCTCATACCTCTGCGTCTCTTCAGTTTGGAGGTTATTCTTTCTAGAAAATGGAGAGGCTTGTGCCCAGGGCTCCTGCCAGACAGGAGTCTGTTGCTCACCCTGGGTTTTCCTACGGCTCCAAAATGCTGTACCCACGGGTGTGTGCAGAGCAATATCTGATCCATCCATGGGTGCTCTGCAGTCACAGCTGCGGGGACCATCTCATCCCCGGTCCCGCTGTCAGCAGCTGCTCACTCATGGCCCTGGCCTCTCTGGGTCCTCCAGCTCCACGCACTGGGGTCCAGCAGTGAAAGGGGGAGAGGACTCCACCTTGGGGAGGGCAAGTCCATCCTCAGGGCTGGTGACTCTCCTCATCATCCTCCTTTTGCAGGACAAACGCCCAGCTGCAGCTGAAGGCGATGGCCCTGCTCATTGCACTGCTGCTGGCTGCGACCGACGCTGAGCGGCGGGTAAGGGGCTGCCCTCTGCCCGCGGGCGGTAGGCAGGACCGGGTGATGGCAGGGTGGTGGGCATTGCAGATCCAAGCACCACAGTGCCCCTGTCACGGGGGTGCTCTGCTGAGAGGCCTCTGCTGTCCTTGGAGTAGTTTTGGGGGGGATGCAAGATCTCAAATGACAAGAGAAGTGTCAGGGCTGGTGGTGGCACAGTGACCGTGACGGCCCAGACCCCGTGCCTGGCACATCTTGGGCCATCACGGCTGGGCCCCCCCGTGATGGGGTCTTGGGCAGCAGCGTTTGTGTTCTCTGGGATGGCGGGGCTGTGAGAGGTGCCCGGAGATGTTTAAAGTCAGTGTCCTCACTCTGCCTCTTCTCCTTGACTGACACAACCTTGTCCTGGCAGCCTGGTAGGGCAGGATCTGTTTGAGCCCCATTGGGGTGGGCTAGTTCTGGCTGCCAGGGCAGTGGAAGCTGGGGGCAGGTCTCCTGCTCACCGGTGTCACTCCTGAGACTGCCGGTTCCTTTCTGTCCCCACCCTGCCTGTGGCCCAAAGCCAGGCATAGCCGGGAAGCTGGTCTGCAGAGGGAACACCGGCTTTTTTTGGGGAAACGGTGGTGTGCTGAGCTGGGGAACGTCTCACAGCCTCTTCCCTTCCTAGGACATGATGGACTACCTGAGGGAGAAGAACATCAGGCAGTTTATCCACAAGGTGAGGAGCTGGGGTCGTGCAAGGGTCTGCTCTGTGCTTCATCCTCTGTCCTTCCTCCCCAGCCCCTGTCCCCTCAGCCCCAGCCTTAGGTGACCGTGCCTGCTTGCGTGCCCCACACCCCTTCCTTGATGCCTCCTGTGGGTGCTGCCACGCTGGCACCCACACGCCCAGGGTTGCACCCCCGGCTGCCTGCAGTTCAGTGCACCCAGCTCTCGCCCAACCCCGTGGGGAGCTGCCCGCTTCCTAACGCCCCTTCGGGCAGCAGGACCTCCTGGGCTTTGGCTGTTGGGCCCCTGGGCTTGGGGGAACCGGGAGCAGCAGCCTGGGGGAACCTTCTCACTCGCAGTCTCCTATAGAACATCATCCACAGCTCTGAGCCGCTGGGGGATGAGATGGCCCATTACCTGTATGTGCTGCAGTCCGTCAGCCTCAACCTGTGCGAGCGACGCATGAGGACCTCCATGGATCCCTACTCACAGGTCTGGGAGCCGCTCTCTTGGCGAGTCTGGCCCTGCTCTCTTTCTCTTCCACCTGTGGAATTAGGGTGAAGGTTCACCTTTGGGTAAACCCAGCACATTTGATTTCATCGTCGGTTTGTCCTGGGAGAACCTGCTTGCGTGGGGCTCACCGGCATCCCCTTCTCCCCGCATTCCCTCCAGGAACAGCGGGAGCTCCTCCAGTCGCTGCGCCAAACCGCCTTTGAGTCGGAGAGCGAGGCATCTGCCAGCAACTTCAGCACCGAGCGCCGGCGATCCCTGTGTGCCAAGGAGTTCCGCAAGCTGGGCTTCATGGTGTGTGCCCCCCGCATCCCCTCCCCAGCCCCACGCTGGCTCTGCCACCCAGACTCGGTGGCGCCTTCTGATGGCTCCCCTAAGCCTGGCGTCCCTGTTGATCCTGATGGGCCACCAGGCGGTACCTCCCTTCTTGTCCCTTGGCACCGCTAAACAGCGAGTGCTGTGGAGCTGCCGGGACTCAAAAGGCAAACCCCATGGCTGCGTCAGGAGGACTCTGCTGCTCGGAGAAGAAAGCAGCAGTTGCTAAATTGCACCCTTTTGTCGGCTGCGTCAGGAGGACTCTGCTTTCTTCTCCGAACAGCAGCAGTTGCTAAATTGCACCCTTTTGTGTCCTCCTAGAACAACAGCAACCCAGCGGAGGACCTCCGCCGTGCCCCGCCGGGACTCCTTGCCCTCGACAACATGGTGTATTTCTCCAGGCACACCCCCAACGCCTACAGCAGGGTGCGTGCTCTCTCCCGGAGAACTCCCTGGCGGAGAGGTGCTGGTGGATCTCCACCTTCTTTTCCTTTCCTTCTGACCCGTCCTTGGCCAAACCCAGGCGAGGATGTCCCTTTCGGGCAGGTGTCCTACTGTTGTCCCGTTTCAGATGGAGCCAAGTCCTCCCTGTGGGTAGGAGCAGCCGTTTGAGGCCGGTGGCACTGAAGGGTCCCCATAATTTTTGTAGTGTTTTGCCCACGGCTTGGCTTCCAGGCCTTGTTCGCGTCTGAGCGAACCGGGGCGATTTGGGCAAAACCAGCCAGCGGCTGCAGAGCATTAACCCCGTTCCGACCTGCTGTGCCTGCGATCAGCTCCAGCACTGCCGCAGGGGAAGGAGGGGGCTGGGGCTGGTTTTTGGGGAGAGCTAACTACTTCTGTTAGGGATGGCTTAGCCTGGGGGGACAGCTCGACTAGGAAGCTCAGAAGAAGCGTGGGGTGTCTGAGGTGGGGCAGCCCTCCGAGTCCGTGGCCCGCGTAACGCAAGGCAACGACCCTCTCCTCCAGTTTGTCCTCGAGAACAGCAGCCGGGAAGACAAACACGAATGCCCCTTCGCTCGAAGCAGCATCCAGCTCACCCTGATCCTCTGCGAGATCCTGCACGTTGGAGAGCCGTGTATGTGTGCGCCCCAGCTTGTCCTTCTCCCTGCCCTGCTGCCTGCCGGCTGGCAGGAGTGGGGACAAGCCGCCAGGGCAGGGGGCTGCGTACGTGGGGCCACCAGGCTCCGGCGTGGCCGACAGCAGGGGAAGGGGAGGTAGGGCTGGGAAACGTCCAGGTTCTCCTGAAGACTGAAATCCCCCGGAAAAACTGGGGAGTCTGGCGTCATCTGTCCTTCTCACCGCAGGCTCGGAGACGGCTCAGGCCTTTTACCCTATGTTCTTCGGGCAGGATCATTTCTTTGAAGAGCTCTTCTGCATCTGCATCCAGCTGGTGAACAAGACCTGGAAGGAGATGCGCGCTACCCAGGAGGACTTTGACAAGGTGCGAGGGGATGCTGGGGCCCCGGACGGGAGCTGGGGCCATGGGCTGTGCACAAATACAGGGGCTCCGGGGAGCGTCACCAGACTGGGGGTGACGTCCTGGGCCCCGCAGGTGCTGCAGGTGGTGCGGGAGCAGATCACCAGGACCCTGTCGCTCAAGCCCACCTCCCTGGAGCTATTCAAGACCAGAGTGAACGCGCTGAACTACAGCGAGATCCTGAAGCTGCGGCAGACCGAGCGGCTGCACCAGGAGGAGACGCTGGCTGTGCCCGTGCTGTGAGTGGGCTGCGGGCAGGGAGCAGGAGCTGCGATGGGGGGACCTGGGGGGGGACACACACGCCGTGGGGCTGGGGGAGGTCAGCGAGCGCCTGCTGAAGCGGCCGCGTTCTCTTCTGCTGGCTCTCGCCCCAGGGAGTTGCGCGAGAGGCTGAAGCCGGAGCTCCTGGAGCTGATCCGACAGCAGCGCCTGCTGCACCTCTGCGAGGGCACCCTCTTCCGCAAGATCAGCAGCCGCCGCAGGCAGGGGGAGTGGCAGCCA